GGGTAGGCTCCATGATGTACACGTTTATAGAGGGGCAACTGATGTATCGGATCATTATTTAGTTGTGGGTACAGTTAGAGTAAGGGTAAGGAAAAAGGGGAAAAAGGCAACAACAAGCAAGAGGGAGGTGAAAGTGTATAAATAAGGGAGGGGGAAGTTGGGTGAGATGAAAGCAATTTTTTGGCAAAAAGGGGGTGGGCTTTTCAAAGAAAAAAGAGTAGTAGGGGGAGGGGGGTTGAAGAGGATTTGAATAGTTTTAAAAAATGCGTTTAAATGGGGGGCAGAATTTTGTGGTTATAGGGGGTGGGTGCAGGGGGAAAAAGGGAGAAATTTGGTGGAATGATGAAGTAAAGGGTGTGATAAAAGAGAAAAAGTTAGTTTATGAAGGTTTTTAAAAAAGAGGTTTTATAAGAAGTTAGGTATATGGAGGAAAGGGAAAAAGGTGAAGAGAGGGGTGAGAAGTCAAAAGGAAGCAGATGATAGAGTGGGGGGGGGGGCACTGTCAAGAAATTTTAATGAAAATAAAAAAAAATTTTTGGAGTGGTTTTAAAAAAAAAGCCTAGGAACGAATGGACTGTCAGTTAAAAACAGAGTAAGTAGAGGGTTAGTAGATGGGGAGTGGACTTTTTGGGTAGTTGGCGAGAAATTTTGAGGAATTTTTTAACCCTTTGAGGGTCGACGGGCCCCTTCAAAACTCGTTCCAGGTCGGCCAAAATTTCAAAAAAAAAAAAATTTTTTTTTTTCTTATAAAAAAAAGAGTTTTTTTTCAAAAATTTAAGGGAAAAACAAAAAAAAAATTTACCATCAAAACTTCGGAAATATGGATGCAGAAGTTTGCAAAAAAATGACCCGCTAGGCAACACGGGGGCTGCCGCTCACCGGTTTAAACTTTAGTTTACTTGTTTTAAAGGGTTTTTTTGTTTTTTTTTTTTTATTTTTTTTCAAAAACTTATGTGGCCTGTGAGACCAAAGAAAGGGGAAAATGTACAATATCACTCGTGATACAACCAAAAAGCACACAAACATAATTATAATTTTTGTTTAAAAAACGTTTACAAAAACAAACAAAAAAAAACATTGTTTATTTTTATTGTTCTAAATATATATACCTATACAGTCAAAACATATTCTATTATTTCGCGCTTGGGAACTCTGAAATGGGTATACACAATGGTGTTTTATCTTTCCCCCTCATTTATCTCTTTCATCTGTCTTTTTCTCTTTCTATCTGTTATCTTCTCTGTCCACAGGTAAAAATAAATACAAATATACATGTAAAATTACTAGGATAACCCAAAAAAATCCAGACAAAAATGCTATACTCTGCTTGAAAATGTAGTAAAAAAGATGCACAGTCTTGTGGGTCCGAGACGAGAGCTAGACGGGTAGACAGATGACAGGGAGCTTGACAGACAGACAAATAGACAGACAGAAATGTTGTGTACCAGTACCGTGTCTAGGTTTTCCCCCCTCCTCCTCCTTTTTCCTCTTCCTCCTTTCCCCCCCACTCTTCCTCAACCCCCCTTCCTCCCCTTCCCCTTTCCCCCTCTTCCCCTTCCCCCCTCCTCTTTCCCCCTCCTCCTTTTTCCTCTTCCTCCTACTCTTCCTCCCCTCTTCTTCCTCTTCCTCCTTTCCCCCCAATCTTCCTCGTACTATTCCCCCTTCTCCCCCTTTCCCTTTTCCCCTTCCTCCCACTTTCCCCCTTTTCCCTTTCCTTTTCTTCCTCCTCCTCCCCCTCTTCCTCCTCCTCCTCTTCTTCCTCTTCCCCCTACCCTTTTCCTCCTTTTCCCCAGTGTAAATTACAAGGAGTCCCCAGCTGTAAAAATGACATATTTGGTCATTTCTCTTTCCCCCCCGGCCTGTCAAAAAAATGGGGTCGGATGCTGCTTTCCCCTCCTCCTTCTATCTAATTATCTTTCTCCTCTTTTATCTGTCTGTCATCTCTGTCTCACAGGGACACATAAAAACAAGAATACGGTATAAATTACCTGGATAACCCCAAAAAACCCAGACAAAGTTATCTCTGCTTGAGATTGGTAAAAGGATGCGAGTCTTTGGTCTCTGAGACAGAGAGCTAGATGGGGTTGACAGGGACTTTACAGACAGCAAATAGCAGACGAAATTTAGTAACCACAAAAAAAAGGGGGGGCGATGTTATCTCATCTTTTTTGGGTCAGCTCTACCCTCATTTCCTCATCAAACGTCAGACTTATCAGAGTTTTTCTCCCCCTTATCTTGTTACGTCATGGGTGAAAATTTTTTTTTACAAAATTTTTATTTTTACCTATTATTTTTATTTTGTAATTTTTTTTTATTATTATTATTATTAATTATTTTTTTTATTATTTTATGTTTATTTTATTTGTATTATTATTATGTATTATTGTATCTTACGATTTTTTTCTTTCCCCCTCCCCCTCCCCCTCCTCCTCCCTTTCCCTCCTCCCCTTCCTCCTCCTCCTCCCCCCCTCCTCTTCCTCCTCCTCCTCTTCTTCCTCCTCCTCCTCCTCCCCTCTTCTTCTTCCTCCTCCTCTCCCCTCCTCCTCGCCCCCCTCCTCCCCTTTTCCTCCTCCCCCTCTTCCTCCTCCTCCTCTTGCCCCCTCCTCCTTTGTCCTCCTCCTCTGCCTCCTCCCCCTCCTCCTCCTCCATTCTTGGAAAAGTTTGAAAATCTTGTGTTCAATCATATCTTTTTTTATCCCAATGCTACACTGAGTCTGGGGTTTTTGGGGAAAAAGGGGTTTCCTCTTTTTTCTGGTACAAATGAACGACGGCCCCCGCACCGGGTGGAAGGCTGTGGGTTGTCTGGGTTTTCCCATTACCCATTTTTGGTCATTGTTTCGGTCCAAAACCCCCACCAGAACCTTTAAATCATCTTCACTGTCACTTCCATCTGTTTAGAACTGTCATGGGGGAAAAAAGTTCCCAATTCGCCGGGAGGAGTGAGGAATTTTTCCAGGGCCGGTGGAAATTTTTGGGATATGATGGATTCCACAATGCCCCCACTGGGTCCCGATTTTTTCCCCTGCGCCCCCCACCACCAGACCCATTTTCCAATCTAGGCTTATCAGCCTTTTCCGTGAATTTTAGGCCCTAGAAATTTATGCGTACTAGTACGACAAAAACCCCTACGCGTAAGACGAATAGCGACGAAAAAACCCCAAAAGGGTTAAATGTCGATGAAAAAAAAAAAAAAAAAAAAAAAAAAAAAAAAAAACAAAAAAAAAAAAAAAAAAAAAAAAAAAAAAAAAATAAAGGGGAGGGTTTTATTTTTTTTTGGCCAGGGAGTATACCATCCCCTTTTAAAAGGGAAGGGGGCAAAAAATGAAAAAAAAAGGGGGAAAAATTTTTCGGATTTTACTAAGAAAAGTGTACGGTAGGGTTATAACTGAAAGAATTAGAGGTAAGACAGAACGCAGGATTGCAGATGAGCAAGGAGGTTTCAGAGTGGGTAGGGGATGTGTAGATCAAGTGTTTACATTGAAGCATATATGTGAACAGTATTTAGATAAAGGTAGGAAAGTTTTTATTGCATTTATGGATTTAGAAAAGGCATATGATAGAGTGGGTAGAGGAGCAATGTGGCAGATGTTGCAAGTATATGGAATAGGTGATAAGTTGCTAAATGCTGTAAAGAGTTTTTATGAGGATAGTGAGGCTCAGGTTAGGGTGTGTAGAAGAGAGGGAGACTACTTCCCGGTAAAAGTAGGTCTTAGACAGGGATGTGTAATGTCACCATGGTTGTTTAATATATTTATAGATGGGTTGTAAAAGAAGTAAATGCTAGGGTGTTCAGGAGAGGGGTGGGATTAAATTATGGGGAATCAAATTCAAAATGGGAATTGACACAGTTACTTTTTGCTGATGATACTGTGCTTATGGGAGATTCTAAAGAAAAATTGCAAAGGTTAGTGGATGAGTTTGGAGTGTGTGTAAAGGTAGAAAGTTGAAAGTGAACATAGAAAAGAGTAAGGTGATGAGGGTATCAAATGATTTAGATAAAGAAAAATTGGATATCAAATTGGGGAGGAGGAGTATGGAAGAAGTGAATGTTTTCAGATACTTGGGAGTTGACGTGTCGACGGATGGATTTATGAAGGATGAGGTTAATCATAGAATTGATGAGGGAAAAGAGGTGAGTGGTGCGTTGAGGTATATGTGGAGTCAAAAAACGTTATCTATGGAGGCAAAGAAGGGAATGTATGAAAGTATAGTAGTACCAACACTCTTATATGGATGTGAAGTTTGGGTGGTAAATGCAGCAGCGAGGAGGTGGTTGGAGGCAGTGGAGATGTCCTGTCTAAGGGCAATGTGTGATGTAAATATTATGCAGAAAATTCGGAGTGTGGAAATTAGGAGAAGGTGTGGAGTTAATAAAAGCATTAGTCAGAGGGCAGAAGAGGGGTTGTTGAGGTGGTTTGGTCATTTAGAGAGAATGGATCAAAGTAGAATGACATGGAAAGCATATAAATCTATAGGGGAAGGAAGGAGGGGTAGGGGTCGTCCTCGAAAGGGTTGGAAAGAGGGGGTAAAGGAGGTTTTGTGGGCTAGGGGCTTGGACTTCCAGCAAGCGTGCATGAGCGTGTTAGACAGAAGTGAATGGAGGCGAATGATACTTGGGACCTGACTATCTGTTGGAGTGTGAGCAGGGTAATATTTAGTGAAGGGATTCAGGGAAACCGGTTATGTTCATATAGTCAGATTTGAGTCCTGGAAATGGGAAGTACAATGCCTGCACTTTAAAGGAGGGGTTTGGGATATTGGCAGTTTGGAGGGATATGTTGTGTATCTTTATACGTATATGCTTCTAAGCCGTTGTATTCTGAGCACCTCTGCAAAAGCAGTGATAATGTGTGAGTGTGGTGAAAGTGTTGAATGATGATGAAAGTATTTTCTTTTTGGGGATTTTCTTTCTTTTTTGGGTCACCCTGCCTCGGTGGGAGACGGCCGACTTGTTGAAAAAAAAATATATATATATATATATAAAATAATATAAAAAAATCTTACCCAGGGACCAACTCCGATTGATGACGAACAGCAGAGTAACGAGTCGCTATGGTCACTGCTCGCTGCAGCTGTCGGTATGAATCAAAGCAAATGGCAACCCTCACAAACACCATTGTGCCATAAGCAAGTTTGTCACTAGCAGGCTTCACATAGGTACCATCCTGTTTTGAAACAGTCAAATGAGTAACTCTTATTCCTTCAATCTTAAGGCAATTAACTATGATTTGAATCAAACTTAATCAAATAATTTACTAACATACAAATAACAAATTAATATTATAAAGACAAAGTTTTATATTTTTAATATAACAATCTTACCTCCAGAACTTGGGCATGCTTCATGAGCAAGTTTGCACGAGGAATACGGCAATGGTCAAATCTTAAGAACCCATTGTCATTTGTATTCATTCCCAGCCTTGGACCAATCTCTCCAACTGTGACACCTGAAAATTTACCGATTTTAATAATAAACATATACAGTGCCATAAAAAATAACTATTACATCAGCTTTAGGTTTAAGAGGTATTAACCAAGTTAGTATGTAATTAAAATAAATGAGTGATCTTCACATTCCAGTGTGTCACCATTTCAAATTTTCTCTGATGTGAAGAAAAAATTATACTTTTCTGGTACTTTACTAGAGTCCAAGATATTTTAGAATGCACTTCTCCAATATAAGGTAACCTGTACAAAGACCCTTAAAGTGCTCAAGATGAAATGTGATAGGCTGCAACAAACTCTTCAAGATCATTCAGTGTGTGGTGCCCACATCAGTTTGAAATGCAAGCACCAACAACCTGATTCATCAGTTCAATGATCAGGCTGTAAATGCAATGATCACCAATAGAATTCAAAGCTTAAGTTATCTTCTGGTGTGCTAATATTACCTTCAAAATTACAAAAACACTTGGTAACCCAATTAATGAAAATATTTAACAACAAATCCTTCAATAAATGCCAAAATACTATTTAACACTTCACTATATTAATATTACTTTATGCATGAAACATTCTAAGTCTTCCATTAATCAAGCTCACTAACTAAACAAAATATTTAATATTGGATCCTACCTGGCAAGCTCTGGTGAGTTTCTTCATCTCTGAGTTGGACAACAAAGGCATGAATTCCATGACAATGTCCTTTAATGTATAGCTGAGCCATCACCACAGCATAGTTGACTGTCTTGCCCACTAAAGAAAAGACTTATATGAATACTTAAAGTTCTGCATTTCTGATCACTTTCTTTCCCCTCTTAAAAAATAAAATCACTAAACATTAATTTATTGTCTTTCCTGATATATTTCACTTTCAGAACATGACAGTTCTGATACTGCCTGAAGTGTACCTTTAGCATGGTTCAACTATAGCCCAACTGTCATTAAGCTTTGATAGTACTCAATTTTCACTCCTGCGTACTCAATTTTCACTCCTGCATACATCTCTTTATGCAATATCAGCTCAAGAGAATTCACTTTATATCACCACAATCCCTTTTATACAGGTGATAGGTCTACATTTCCTAGATAGTAGGTTGGTAGACAGCAGCAGCCTAGGGAAGTACACCGTCCTGTCAAGTGAGTATCAAATGGAAGCCTGTAATTGTTTTACATGATGGTAGAATTCCTGGTGTCATTTCTGTCTACTAAACATGCAAGATTTCAGGTACGTCTTGCTACTTCTACTTACACTTAGGTGACCCTACACATACATGTACAAGCATATATATATACACACCCCTCTGCATTTTATTCTATTTTCTTACTAGTTCATGTTTATTTCCTCTTATCTCCATGGGCAAATGGAAGAGATTTCTTCCTTCTTAAGCCATGCGTGTCGTAAGAGGCGACTAAAATGCCGGGAGCAAGGGGCTAGTAACCCCTTCTCCTGTATACATTACTAATTTAAAAGGAGGAACTTTTGTTTTTCTTTTTGGGCCACCCTGCCTCGATGGGATACAGCCGGTTTGTTGAAAGAAAGTACAGGTCTCCCTCAACATTCGCATTTTCAACTTTTGTGGGCTTCACACATTCGCGAATTCCCAACCACCAAATTCCCAGCCACCAAATCATATTTAAGTTTCCCGCCACCTGCGAGTCCCTACTACCCTCCCTCCGACTCCCGCAACTGGTAGCCAGCCCTCCCACCACTGTGTGGTGAGAGTTTTGTTTGTTCATTATTTGCTATCAAACTACAGTATAAATAATGTAAACCCATTCATGACTGCATATTGGAATGGCTATTCGGACAGGTATTGGACGGTGACATGTGTTTACTCTTGAACACAACAAAGAATCAAACATTTCTGCTACTGTTAATAATAACAATAGTAATAACAATAATAAAAATAATAATAATAATAATTATAATAATAATAATAATAATAATAATAATAATAATAATAATAAATACGATAGAATTGAAGAAGGGAATTGTACAAAAATACGAGGGTTGAAGCAATAGTGGAGGGAGTGGCTGACACATCGTCAGTGTGGCTTTGTTTATGCTGGAGTGAGCATTAGTCTCCGTGCTCTTCCAAACATTTCACAATAATTCATTGTGTTCGGTGCTTGTAGATTGAGTGTGACTGGAGTGGAAGAGGCAGTGGTTGAGGCAGTGGTTGAAGCAGTGGTTGAGGCAGCAGTTGAGGCAGTGGGTGAGGCAGTGGTTGAGGCAGCAGTTGAGGCAGTGGGTGAGGCAGCAGTTGAGGCAGTGGCTGAGGCAGCCACTGAGGCAGTGGTTGAGGCAGTGGGTGAGGCAGTGGTTGAGGCAGCAGTTGAGGCAGCGGTTGAGGCAGTGGTTGAAGCAGCGGTTGAGGCAGTGGGTGAGGCAGTGGGTGAGGCAGCAGGTGAGGCAGTGGGTGAGGCAGCAGGTGAGGCAGTGGGTGAGGCAGTGGGTGAGGCAGTGGGTGAGGCAGCAGTTGAGGCAGTGAGTGAGGCAGTTGGTGAGGCAGCGGTTGAGGCAGTGATTGAGGCAGCGGTTGAGGCAATGGAAGAGGCAGTGGTAGAGGCAGCAGTTGAGGCAGTGGTAGAGGCAGCAGTTGAGGCAGTGGTATTTAATAACATACATGTTAATAATAATAATGTTATTAATAATAACATGTGCTATTATTATTAATAAAATATATGTTATGAAATACCACTGCCTCAACCGGTGCCTCAACGGTTGCCTCAACCACTGCCTCAACCGGTGCCTCAACCGGTGCCTCAACGGTTGCCTCAACCGGTGCCTCAACCGGTGCCTCAACCGGTGCCTCAACCGGTGCCTCAACCACTGCCTCAACCACTGCCTCTACCACTGCCTCTACCACTGCCTCTACCACTGCCTCTACCACTCCAGTCGCACTCAATCTACAAGCACCAAACACAATGAATTATTGCAAAATGTTTGGAAGAGCATGGAGACTAATGCTCACTCCAGCATAAACAAAGCCACATTGACGATGTGTCAACCACTCCCTCCACTACTGCTTCAGCCCTCGTATTTTTGAACAATTTCCTTCTTCAATTCTATCGTATTTATTATTATTATTATTAGAAGTAGCAGAAATGTTTGATTCTTTGCTCTGTAAAAGAGTAAACACATGATGTCACCGTCCAATACCTGTCCGAATAGCCATTCCAATATGCAGTCATGAATGGGTTTACATTATTTATACTGTAGTTTAACCCTTTCAGGGTCCAGAGGCCAAATTTCAAAGTGTGCACCAGGGTCCAAGAATTTTCAAAAAATAATTTTGTATTTTTTCTTATGAAATGGTAGAGAATCTCTTTCTGAAGGTAATAAAACAAAAAGTATTAAATTTGATGGAAAACTGATGAAATTATGCTCTCACAAATTTTGACGTGTCGGTGATATTTATGCATCAGCGATTTTGCCAACTTTGACTCCCATTTGAGGCCAATTACAGTATTCCAGTCAACCAAATTCTTAGCTATTTCACTAGTATTACTTCTATTCTATCGATTGAGCACAATAAATCACCAAGTCAATTGTTTTAACAACAAAATAAAGTGACCGGAATTTAATGCAAAGTTCAAAATATTCCAATTTCAAAATAGGGTCCAAAATAAACAATGCAGGCATTCCTGGCACTAAACTAACATTTCCTCTGTTCATTAGTTACATTTTAAGACTTTACAAATGAATTCCATTTTGATTTTTTATTCACATCATGAATTTTTATTCAAACCAAAAAAATAGAAGATTTACTGTTATGCAATACTGTAATAATTGTATAAATAATATCACCACATTTGTGAATGTATATTAGACCCACCAGCTGTACTGTATTAGACTTGTGAGGTCATTTGTTTACTCTTGAACATCAGCAAAAATGTAAAATTTCTGCTACTTTGAGCTCAGTTTCAAGCCATTTCCAGTACAGTAGGGCCCCGCTTTACGGCATATCGCTTTACGGCATTCTGCTAATACGGTCATTTCAAATTATGACCAAAACTTGCTATACGGCTCCCCCACCTGACTTTCTAATACGGTCACCGTGCCCCACCCTGTTTGTTTACATTCTCTGTGAGATCCGTAACCACTAAGTCTCTCCATTATGTCTGGAAACTCCAAAATTTTAAGCGTTTTTAAAAGTTATTTCATATATACTCTGATAATTATACTTATGTATACCTGTACTTAAATAAAATTACATACTGTGCTGGCATGCAGGTATACATTAAAATCAGTAAGAGAGTTTTATGTCTCCAGACGTTATATTAGTAATGATAATAATAATCATCGAGTCTCATTTAAATGTCGTATATTACGTTAATATACACATTTTCATTAATCCATCCATGATATTTTTTCAAAATTATACAATAAACACGATGCATAACATGTAAATATGATAAGTACACCCCACAGTAGAATAAATAAACATAAATATGAGATGTGTTAGCAGACGACTTGCACAAGTGACGCCATATTAGAAATAATAATAATCACCGAGTCTCATTAAATGTCTTATATTACGTTAATATACACATTTTCATTAATCCATCCATGATATTTTTTCAAAATTATATAATAAACATGATACATAACATATAAAGATGATAAATACACCCCACAATAGAATAAATAAACATAAATATGAGATGTGGTAGCCAGATAACTTGTACAAGTGATGCCAAGAATAACATTTTCTCTAATCTAACATAAGAGAAAATGTGTTACTGGGGGTAACTGAAGAAAATTATTCCTTTCGTATGTATGTAAGTTTATTCAGGTATACACAAATACAGTTACATAAATTATCATACATAACAGCATATGTATAGAGTACCTAGGATAACCCAAAAAAGTCAGAGTGACTTATTTCCATTGCCTTCACTCAGAGCGTCATTTCTTCTCAAAATGATGTTACATGAGAATGGGAGTGTTCTTCTTTATTTATTCTACCGTATCAATGTAGAGACAACCTGTACACAATGTAACTTGTACACAAACCAGACGTGTACACTTTGTTTGTTTACAAAACTTACCTTCGCCTGGTTTGTTTACATAACTCTGCGCCTGTCCTCTCTCATGCACTCATTCTTTCTCTCTCTCATTTATTCGTTTTATCTCATTTACTTACTCCTGACCCTACATTAAGACTACAAATATTTTAAGGTAAGTAATGAGTGAACTGTATATACATTTTATCGCTCTGGGATGCTTAAATATCATAGAATATATGTGTGGGTGGGTTGGCCTGGTATGGTAGCCCAGCTGACTATCATACATACCACACTTGATTTTTTACAATAAATACTACTCATCTCACCCTAGATTAAGACTACAAATATTTTAAGGTAAGTAATGAGTAAACTGTATATGCATTTTATTGCTCTGGGATGCTTAAATGTAATAGAATATTATGTGTAGGTGGGTTGGCCTGGTATGGTAGCCCGGCTGACTACCATACATACCACACTTGATTTCTTACAATAAATACTACTTGTCTCACCCTAGATTAAGACTACAAATATTTTAAGGTAAGTAATGAGTGCACTATGTGTGTATTGTACTTTATTATTGTTTTTTGATGCCTAGTTCTATTGCTAACTTAATATATGTTAGTGTAAACTTGTTACCTAGTATTTGTATGCATTTATAAGTGAAAAAAAAAAGGGTGTTCGACTTCATGGCGATTTCCACTTTACGGCAGTAGCCTGGAACCTAACCTGCCGTATAAGTGGGGCCCTACTGTACTAAAAACCAATCAAAATCATCTCTACTTCGGTAGTATATCTTCCATTCTATCAAATGAGACCAAGAAATTGCAAATACAACTTTAAAAAACACACAAAAAAACAATGCAAAGTTGCTGTTTCAGTCGAAAATTACGGTCTCAGTTCTTTTTCTCTAATTATGTACTGTGTGCTGCAGGATTTGTTTTATGTAGTGCACACATACCACATAGAAGTATTTTCTCATATCTAGGCCCAAATTTACTGCTCACAGCTTATCAGAGTGAGCTGAGCTCATGGCGTAGATCTACGGTTTGGACCCTGAATGTAAAGCCGTAGATCTATGGCACGGACCCTGAAAGGGTTAATAGCAAATAATGAACAAACAAAACACTCACCACACAGTGGTGGGAGGGCTGGGTGCCAGTTGCGGGGGTTAGAGGGAGGGTAGTAGGGACTCGCAATGGTTGAGGCAGTGGTGGAGGCAGTGGTATTTAATAACATACAAGTTATTAAACCATAATATGTATGTATTTAGTACAATTTACGACGTTTTCATGTATTTTATGATTGTTTATGGTTAAACAAGTTAAGGAAGCAGTATTGTATTATACATATGTATTTCCCTACAATATATTGGGGCACCAAACATTCGTGATTTTTCAACATTCGCGAGGCTCTTGATCCCCTAACCCTCACAAATGTTGAGGGAGACCTGTAGCAATGGTTCTATATTTTAAGAATTCAGAAAAAAAATGGTACGAAAAACCATACTTTACAGATAATTACCTTCAGCCATCAAATTAGCTTGCTCAATTTAGGTACTGAATATAAACATTCTCGTAATCAGTTTAAAATTATTCAGTGGATAAATTTGAAATATGCTTGCAACTTATAAAGTTTTTAACATACTACATCAGACTGAGTAATATCATCTGTTTTACCTCCAGCATACAGGTTCGCCATCACAAATCCGGCAATCAGTTATTCGGTTCCTTCAGTTATTCGGCACTAATTTTGGCTAGCATAATTTCAAATTTCCAGGATCGCCATACCAGCCTGCTGCTACTGTTTGGTGGTGCTACTTGCTGCATAAGTCATTCCAATTTCTTTTTCTCCATTTATTGTTTTAACCTGCTTACTTTTAGCCCTAGCCATGGTTCCAATGAATAAAAAAAATGCTTCTCATTATGTAAAGCACCTACACAGTACATTATCCATTAAAGATAAGGTGGCTTTGAAGCCACTGTCGGTTGCCATGAGCTCAGTCTCATGAAGCAGGAGAATATGCTTTATTATTATGCTAATATCAACACTACAGCTTATTTGCCTATCACAATTGATCTAACATGACATAATAAACAATATAAATAACACAAAACATGTTAAATACTCTAGAATGGATAATATTTGGCATAATACCGATGGAGGTATGAAGAGGATATGGTATACAAATACCATTCTCCTATCTCTGTCTTGGGGCTTATATTAGAGAAAACGGAGTGTAGCACAGGGCTAACTGTGATATACACTCGTACTGCACCATAAACCTGAAACAAAAAAGTTATTTTCTCTACATAGATTATCTCACACAGCAGCACGTGTGTAGAGAACCTAGGATAACCCAAAAAAGTCAACGTGGCTTATTTTTAGTACCTGGCTTGGGTTAGCCATATATGATTTTTTGTAAATATTTGATTCCCAGCCAGGGTAGAAACATTAGGCATGTTTCTTTACACCTGTGGTCTATGTTTACCCATCAGTAAATGGGTACCTGGGTGTTAGTCGACTAGTGTGGGTGTTATCCTGGGACACTGACCTAATTTTCTTGAAATACTCTGCATAACAAGTGGCTTTCTATATACACACAGTGGACCCCCGCATACCGCACGCATCGCATACCGTACAATCCGCATACCGCTCGCTTTTTTCGCAAAAATTTTGCCTCGCATACCGCCCAAAAACCCGCTCACCGCCCTTCGTCCGAGACGCGTCCAACGTGCGGCCTGAGCCACGCTCACATGTTCTGCCGGTGGCATTGTTTACCAGCGAGCCTCCGCGGTAACATCCGAGCATACAATCGGAACATTTCGTATTATTACAGTGTTTTTGGTGATTTTTTCTGGAAAATAAGTGACCATGGGCCCCAAGAAAGCTTCTAGTGCCAACCCTACAGCAATAAGGGTGAGAATAACTATAGAGATGAAGAAAAAGATCATTGATAAGTATGAAAGTGGAGTGCGTGTCTCCGAGCTGGCCAGGTTGTATAATAAACCCCAATCAACCATCGCTACTATTGGTGGTACAGCTGCTGCTGTACCACCGCCAGCTGCTGCTGCACTGTCAGCTGCTGCTGCACTGTCAGCTGCTGCTGCACTGTCAGCTGCTGCTGCACTGTCAGCTGCTGCTGCTGTTGTACCACCGTCAGCTGCTGCTGCTGTTGTACCACCGTCAGCTGCTGCTGCTGCTGTAGCATCGTCTGCTGCTGCCATAGCATCGTCTGCTGCTGCTGTAGCATCGTCTGCTGCTGCTGTAGCATCGTCTGCTGCTGCTGTAGCATCGTCTGTTGCTGCTGTAGCATCGTCTGCTGCTGCTGTAGCATCGTCTGTTGCTGCTGTAGCATCGTCTGTTGCTGCTGTACCACCGTAGCATCGTCTGTTGCTGCTGTACCACCGTCAGCTGCTGCTGCTGCTGTAGCACCGTTGTTGGTGTGGCTTATTGAGAATACCAAGAAACAATTAACCCCAGAGGATTTGCCACCCAGGATAACCCAAAAGAGTCAATGTCATCGAAGACTGTCTAACTTATTTCCATTGGGGTCCTTAATCTTGTCTCCCAGGATGCAACCCACACCAGTCGACTAACACCCAGGTGAACAGGGAAAAATGCCTGGAACTAGTGCTCATATTGGTGAATTTAAAGCCAGCAAAGGTTGGTTTGAGAGATTTAAGAATCGTAGTGACATACACAGTGTGATAAGGCCTGTTCTGGAAGAAAATGCCAAACAGGACCTACAGTACTCAGGAGGAAAAGGCACTCCCAGGACAGTGTGTCTCATCAGTCATTGCTGCATCTTCAATAAAGGTAAGTGTCATTTATTCTTCATTTAGTAGAGTAGTACATGCACAATATATATTGTGCATGTACTACTCTACTAAATGCAGTATATTTTCGTATTTTTTTTATGGTTGTATTCTCATTTTTTTGTACTCATTTGATAGAATGGAAGATATATTACAGAAATAGACATGATTTTGATTGCTTTCATGATGAAAAGTACCTTGAAATTGAGCTCAAAGTAGTGGAAATGTTCGATTTTTGCCGATGTTCAATGAACTTTGTGCAAGTCAAGTTGGTTAATTTTATTAAGTGTATTCTAACCTAACCACTCTGTAATCCGGCAAACTCAGTAATCCGGCACACTACAGGTCCCAATGATGCCGGATTTGTGATGGAGGACCTGTACCATCAAAGATTATATCTTAATTCATATTACTTTATTCAGACCTTAATTTGCTTAAGCCATTAGGGTAAATGAAAACTATTTTACTACAAAGAAATCAAACATGACCCATTTACAAGAGACTTACATCCTCCGGGCCACCACTTGGTCGCTGTAATGGTTGGTGAGTGTAAAACAAATTCTTGAGTTTTTGGGTCATATGTAGCAGTTGTCTCAAGGCCTCTAAGGAATGTTCCATGACCCAACTCAGTCTAAAAAAGTTTATAAAAACTTATATTATTTTGAAATCACATTAAAAAAAAAAAGTGAATGGAAAACAATCAAATTTTATTATGCTGTACAACACTGTATTCAATAAAATTGTTAGCAGTTCTACAGTTGTAATCAGTTTTCCTAGAAATATTCCAAAAGATCAGTTAAGATATAGGCAGAAATAAAATGCTCAAAGCTACATTGTTCACCAAACTTGATATTATTGGATAAATGACGAAGAATGAGTATCCCATTACAATACACATTATTTTACTGCCTTACTATATTAATTTCTTCTAAGCTATTTAACTCTTAAATTGTCCAAACGTAGATCTACGTTTATGTGCGTAGCACTCCAACCTTTATATTCTCCATTTGAAAGCATGTAAAGAAAAAAAAATATACTTTTGGAGCACTATGCATGTGAATGTAGATCTATGCTTGGACAGTTTAAGGGTTAAAAGAGAACGTACCACAATACCTTGCAAGGTGTTGATAATGTGTCAAAAAAATATTGTACTATGCAATACCATACTGATCAAGGTATTATTAAAATGTGTTTTAAAGTAATGCATCCCAACCATACAATTAAATGCACTGGATTTCCATGAGGGGGGAAGGGGGTTCAACCTAAGGCACCTAAAATGGAGGAATGTAGCAAATAATGTTGTAGCAGAGATAACACCAGGAGGCAGCTCAGATGAAAACTTGCACACACATGAGCTTTTAACCCTTAAATGGTCCAAACGTATATATATGTTCACTCGCGTAGCGCCCCAAACATATACAATGGACCCCTGGTTTGCGATATTAATCTGTTTCTGAGAGCTCATCGTAAACCAAAATTATCGGAAAGCGAATCAATTTTCCCCATAAAAATTGTATTCCTTGTACTTCTCTGTATCATGTTCAAATTAAATAAATAAATAAATAAATAAATAAATAAAAAAATACTGATTGTACAGCAATGCAAGCAACCATACTACCTGTTTTTGTAATACTCATTTGTGCTTGTTATCCGTTTACAATAATGTTTTACCACCATACCCCCGGCCGGGATTGAACCCGCGGTCATAGAGTCTCAAAACTCCAGCCCGTCGCGTTAGCCACTAGACCAGCTAGCCACAATAAGATTCATCCAACTAGGTATATTTCTACACCATAGGAAAGTTAGCACAGGCACCTCTGTGACCACAAATGCAAGTTTTTACAGACGAATCTCCAGCTAGCGTGGCCGTGACGAACTCTAGCTCAAGTCCCTTCACTGCCGTCAACATGACGGCATGTTGACGATTTCTTAAGTCATGTTTTACCACTGAATACTTCAATGCTTAGTTAATCTTAAGTTAATTTTAAGCCTGCTCGTAATGCTATGCATTCAAGTGGCTTTGGCATGCTGCATTTAACTGTATTCTTTTGTACTTCTCTGTATCATGTTCAAATTAATAAATAAATGAATGAATAAAGACATAAATTAATCCGTGCAAGACACCCAAAAGTATGAAAAAAAAAAAAACTTTTACCACATGAAATATTAAGTTTAATGCACACAAATTGAAGAAGACATGCACAGTTTGTAGTATGTACTCTGCTAACAATAGAATACATGACACTTACCTTTAATGAAGATCTGGTGATGATTGATGGGATAGGAGGAGGGGAGAGTGTCGAACCTATTGTTTAGAAGGGGAATCCCCTTCCATTAGGACTTGAGGTAGCAATTCCTTTTCCGGGGTTACTTCCCTTCTTTTAATGCCACTAGGACCAGCTTGAGAGTCACTGGACTTCTGTCGCACAACATATCTGTCCATAGAGGCCTGTACCTCTCGTTCCTGTATGACTTTCCTAAAGTGGTTCACAACAGTGTCATTGTACAGATTGCCAACACGGCTTGCAGTAGCTGTGTGAGGGTGATTTTCATCCAAAAAGCTTTGCACTACAAGCCACTTTGCACACATTTAGCTAATCTTTGAAGTAGGCAACTTCTTCAATTACTCCATCCCCTCCTCCAAAGCAGTTTCCTCAGGTCTGGCCTCTTGCTGTTGAAGATGATCTAACAGCTCATCAGTGGTTAGTTCGTCATTGTCCTCCTCCACCAACTCTTCCACATCCTCCCCACTAACCTCCAACCCCAAAGACTTCCCCAATGCCACAATGGATTCCTCAACTGGCATAGGATTCCCAGGGTTAGCCTCAAACCCTTCAAAATCCCTTTTGTCTACACATTCTGGCCACAGTTCTTTCCAGGCAGAGTTCAAGGTCCTCTTAGTCACTCCCTCCAAAGCCTTACCTATAAGGTTTACACAATTGAGGATATTAAAGTGATCCTTCCAAAACTCCCTTAGAGTCAATAGAGTGTCTGTGGTCACTTCAAACCACCTTTCAAACATAGCTTTTGTGTACAGTTTCTTGAAGTTGGAAATGACCTGCTGGTCCATGAGCTGCAGGAGAGGAGTGGTATTAGGAGGCAAAAACTTGACCTTAACCCTTTGACTGTCGCGGTCGTATATGTACGTCATAGGAGATACCGTGTTTGACGTATCTATACGCATAAATTCTAGCGGCTTCAAATCAAGCAGGAGAAAGCTGGTAGGCCCACATGTGAGAGAATGGGTCTCCATGGTCAGTGTGCACCATATAAAAAAAATCGGGGAGCCAGTGGTGCATTGTGAGAATACCATTTCAGTCGTCCTTTTTCAGCATGTCTAGCAGTAAAAAATATGTGACTTCCCAGCAATCTTTGGGGCTCTTCTCTTCCCAAGTGATGCTCTAACACAGATGGAAGTGTCAATGAAAATCAAATTTATGATTTGGAGGAGTTTGAGCAAAAGCAATGGAGGGAGGAGGAGGAGGAAGAGGAGGGGAGGAAAGGGGGAGGGAGGGAAGAAGAGGAGGAGGAAGAAAGGGGGGAGGAGGAGGAAGGAAGAGGAGGGGAGGAAGGGGAGGAGGAGGAAGAAGGGGGGAAAGGGGAAGAAGGAGGGAGGAGGGAAGGAAGGAGGAGGGAGGTGGAAGGAGGGGGAGGAAGGAAGGAAGGGGGGAGGAGGGAGGGAAGGGGAGGGGGGAGGGGAGGGGGAGGGGGAGGAGGAGGAGGGGGGAAGGAGGAGGGAGGGGGAGGAGGAAGGTGGAAGGAGGAGGAGGAGGGGGGAGGAAGGTGGAAGGAGGAGGGAGGAGGAGGAAGGTGGAAGGAGGAGGGAGGAGGAGGAAGGTGGAAGGAAAGGGGGAGGGGGAGAAGGGGAGGAAGAGGAAGGAGGAAGGGGAAAGGGGAAGGGAGGAGGGAAAGGGAAAAAGAAGAAGAAGAAGAAGAGAAGAAGAAGGGAAGGAAAGAAGAAGAAGAAGAAGGAAAGAAGAAAAAGAAGAAGAAGAAGAAGAAGAAGGAGAAGAAGAAGAAGAGGAGGGAAGAGAGGGAGGAGAGGGAGGAGAGGAGAGGGGGAGGGGGGAAGGAGAAGGGATGGAGAGAAGAGGTGGAGGAGGAGGAGGAGGAGGAGGAGGAGGAGGGGAGGAGGAGGAGGGGGGGAAGGGGAAGAGGGAGGAGGAAGAAGAGGAGGAGGAGAAGAGGAGGGGAAGAAGAGGAGGAGGAGGATGGAAGGAGGGGGGGGGAAGGAGGAGGAGGGGGAAAAGGAAAAGGAAAGGAGAAGAGCGGGAGGAGGAAGGAGAGGGAAGGGGAGGAGGGGGGAGGGAGGAGGAGGGGGGGGGGAGGAAGGAGGGGGGGGGAAAAAGGGGAGGAGGGGAAGGGGGGGAAAAGGGAAGGAAGAAGAGGGGAGGGGAGGGGAAGGGGGGGGGGGGGGGGAAAAAAAAAAAAAGGGAGGGGGGGGGGGAGGGGGGGAAAGGGGGGGGGGAAAAAAAAATGGGGGGGGGGGGGGGAAAAAAAGGGGGGGGAAAAAAGGGGGAAAAGGGGGAGGGGGGGGGAAAGGGGGGGGGGAAGGGGGGGGGGGGGGGGGGGGGGGGGGGAAAAAAAAGGGGGGGGGGGGGGGGAAAAGGGGGGGGGGGGGGGGGGGGGGGGGGGGGAAAAAAGGGGGGGGCTGGGTTTTTTTTTGTCTTTTTCTGTCTCAACCCTTTTCTATCCTTTCTTCCCCCCTTTTTCTCTCTTTTCCTTTTCCCGGATTCCTTTTTTGGTTTTTTTTTCCCCTTTTTCATTTTATTTTTTTTTTTTTCCTTGGCTGCCAAAAAACTTGGGGTTTTTTAAAAATTTTTTTTTTTGGGGGGGGAAACGCACCCCCCCCAGTTTTAAAGGCGGGGGGGATAAGAAAAATTTTTTTTTGGCCCCCCCTTGACCAAAACTTAAACCCCACACCCCCAAAAAAGCTTTAGGGGGAAAACAAAAAAAGTATCGGGACTAAATTTTTAATAAATTTTTTTAAAACCAAAGATGGGGGCGGTAGGGGGGAAAAAAGGGAAAAAAAAGGGGCCCGTTTTAAAAAGTAGGAAGGGGAATCCCCCAAGCCTGGGGGGAAAAGGAAAAGGGAAAAAAAAAAAAAAAAGTGCACCGCCCAAACCCAGGATAACCAAACACCCCCCCTAAAAAGGGAAAAAAAATGAAACGGGGTTTTTTTAGAAAAAAAAAAAATTAAAAAAATAAAACTTTTTTTGGATGAGGAGGTAAAAAAAACTGTGGGGGAAAGAGGGAGGAGTGAAAACAAGTGGAAAAAAAGATTTGGGGGAAAAAAAAATGAGAAATTTTTTTTTAAAATTTAAAAAAACCATTAAACCCTGATTTGAGGATTAAATTTTGCCTTTTATTTTTAATTTTAAAAACCTTTTGAACACTTTTTTTAAGGAGTGTAAAAACCCTGGTATGACACCATTTTTATTTTGGGATTTTTAAAAACCCTTTTTTTTTTAACACCTTTTTTTGTGTGAATTTTAAAACACCATGTTTTTTGAACCCCTTTTTATGGAATTTTTTAAAAAGTGTAAATGTTTTTTTAAAGGGGAAAAAAATTTTTTGGGGACCCTGTTTTATGGGGGAGTGAAAACACCAAAAAGAATTTTTTAAAATGTA